TTACTTTTCTTTATACATGTATTGTTAATTGTTAATTATTTTATTTAAATTTTAAATTTTTAAACCATATTAACAGTTTCTGATTTAATAAATATGTTGATTTGTATCAATCTTATTGAATTTACTCTTTTTATTGGACATAATTTGTTAAATTAACTTTTAATGTTTTAATTATACTTAATAATTTTGGGTTTGGTTTAAAAGCTGATGTGGACCAATTAAATCAAGTTTTTTCCACCTAATCATACTTAATATTTTTTTATTTAATGAATATGCTGATGTGGACCAATCAGATCGAGTTTTTTAATTCTATGTGGACGCCCTCAATGCACTATATCATCAACTTTTATATATTATATGATTCTTATTGAAGTTATTTTCGTGACAGGAGAATATATGTCAAAGAAATCTACACCTTCTTTTTGTCTGAATGCTTGAACAATAAGTCTTCCTTGTACTTCTCAATTGAATCATCAGTTTTCAACTTGGTTTTTAATATCCATCTACACCCTAGTGCCTTCAAATGTTGAAGTAAATCAGTGATCTCATAGGTATGATTTTGCATTATAGAATCGATTTTACTATTGACTGCATCTTTCCAAAAAGGTGTGTCAGGTGTAGACATAGATTCCATGAATGATCTCGGTTGCTTCTGTGCAAGAAATACCATTAAAAAATTATCACCAAAATATTTTTCCTTATGATCTCTTTTGCTTCGTCTAGGTTCATCTTCTGCTTTTCAACTGAAATTCCTGAGATGCTTATGTCTCTTTCATTATGAGTGTGTTTCTTATTTTGTTTGTCATTACACATAAATATGTTTTCAAAGAAATATACATTCCTTGATTCCAGTATTGTGTTGATATGAAGATCTGGTACATCTGACTTATGTACCAAGAATCGATAAGCATTGATATTGTGTGCATATCCAATGAAGATACAATCTATTGTTTGAGGTCCAATTGTTATTTTCTTAAGAGGTGGAACTACGACTTTTACCAAGAACCCCCACACTTTGAGATATTTTTGTCTTATTACTCACGAAAGATAAACAGAAATATTTAAAAAAGTTTGTTCCTTGTTTGATAAGGTTAAAGAAAAACAGAAATATTACGAAAATATTTATTCCTTGTTTGACAGAGGAAACAGAAATATTCCAAAATAAATATTCTTTATTTTGACAAGGATAAGAGAAACAGAAATATTTTGTCAAATAATTCGACTAAGTCAATAAAGATTTATCGATATTATGCAAAATTATTAATGAAATATTAACAATTTTATTAAAATAAGTCAATAAAGATTTATTCCAAATAATAACTTCTTTTATGATTTTACATGATAGCCCATATGCTTCCATTGTGTAACAAATATCCACTTTCATCATTGATATTTTATTCAAATTAACTTCAAATTTAACAATTAATTACATTATCTATTAGTATATATTACAAGAAATAGAAAGAATTCATAATTGTCAAAATTTAAGTTTCAACATATATTTTTCCTTTTTTGGTTAGGACTGGGTGCATCGTACTATACGCTGTAACCTTATACTTTTTTATTATGAAAAATTTGTACGTACAGAGAAGTAAAAATATTCAAGAATTAAACAAAAAAAAAGAATAAAAAATAGAAATACGAATAAGACTTTGTAACTATTAGTCAAATATTTTCTACATGTCATAATATCTATGTTCCCATATATACGAACATGTAATTACCATTTGAAATAGCTACAATCTCTGATATGTAGGCTTTGAACATGTAAATGGCTTTGTAAGAAGATCTGCCATTTGTTCAGTAGTACCAACGTGATCAGTTACAAGTGTACCATATTGTACACCATCACGAATGAAGTGACAGTCAACCTCAATGTGCTTAGTCCTTTCATGGAAGACCGGATTTGCTGCTATATGAAGTGCCGCCTTATTGTCACAGAACAGAGACATTGGGGAAGTGTGGGAGACACCAAGACCTTCAAGAATTGTCTTTGTCCACTTAAGTTCGCAGAAAGTGAGAGATATATACCTGTATTCAGCTTCAGCCAATGATCTAGACACCACTTTCTGCTTCTTTGTCTTCCAATAGATCAAATAATTACCTAACATTACAATGTAACCTGATAAGGATCTCCGAGTGAGTGGACAAGCTGCCCAATCGGAATTACAATGAGCAGAAAGAGTGAGATCTGCATCGGAGGTCAACAAGACACCTTGACCCGAGGAACCTTTCAAGTACTGTACTAACCGCAGGGCAGCATCCCAATGCTTTTATCTTGGACTTTCTATAAATTGTTCTAGAATATGAACTGCATAACTCAGTTCCGGTCTAGTGACAGCGAGATAAACAAGACGACCTACTAATCGCCTATACTTGGTTTGATCACCTAAGTATGGTCCGTCAGCCCGAGCCAAATTATGGTTTTGCTTGATGGGAGTTTCAGCGGGCTTTGCTCCTAAAAGCCCACATTCTGCGACTATGTTTAACGCATATTTGCGTTGAGACAAGTATATACCAGCTTTCCCACGAGAGACTTTAATGCCTAAGAAGTATTTTAAAAACTCCAAATCTTTCATATGAAAGCAGCAATGAAGATACTCTTTAAAGCGAGAGATAAGAGCAGAGTCAATACCACCAATAATCAAGTCGTCAACATAAACAAGGGCGTCGATGATCGAGGATGCAGAGGTGAAGGTCAACAAAGAGTAATCTGATTTATTCTGTTTGAAACCAAAACCAGTGAGGGCGGTGGATAGCTTTGAAAACCAACAGCACGGTGCTTGCATTATGCCATAGAGAGACTTGTTCAACTTGCATATTTGATTCGGTTTGGTAGAAGTAAAACCGAGAGGCAACTGCATATATACTTCTTCTTCTAAATCTCCATGAAGAAACGCATTATGGACATCCATTTGGTATAAATCCCAGCCCTTAGATGCTGAAACGCGAAGCAATATACGTACCATTGTCATCTTGATTACTGGAGCAAACACCTCTTTATAGTCAATGCCCTCTTGCTGGCAATTCCCCAGAGCTACTAAACGCGCTTTATACCTCTCAATAGTCCTATCCGAGTTGAATTTGATTTTAAAGACCCATTGACAGCCAATCGCATGTTTATCCGGGGGAAGAGTCATAACTGTCCAAGTATTAGTATCCTCTAAAGCACCAACCTCGCCTGCAACTGCATTATGCCAAACACGTTGTTTGAAGGCTTCTTTGTAAGACCGTGGTTCAGAAACAGATGTAATTTCTGCAGAATAAATGTGTTGTGCAGGTGAGAGATGATGGCCTAAGATAAAATCTGTTAACGGATATGTGTACATCCCTGAAGTTTCGGTGTCACCAGCAAGAGCAGAATAAATTTTATATGGTTTGAGAAGAACAGATTGCATTTTGGTTCTCTTACCCCGACCACAATCCTCAGGTTCTGGCAAAGATTGTGCACATCCCAGAAACGTTCATGGACATAGGTCAGCTCTGGAAGAGTCAGATAACTCAGACAGCATGAAGTTTAATGATGTCGTGGGTATGATGCAAGCCTATGAGCTGGGTAGGAATTCCAAGGTAACAACAAGAGGAAATAGGATAGCATATGTGGCAAATGCTGAGGAACAATCAGATAGATTGGAAGACAAGGGGGCTTTGATTGTGATAAAGTACTTCAAAAATTTTGAGAAAGGTCAGAAGAGGTTCTCACCAAACTTTAATAAGATAGAGGGTGATTAGAGATATGAAAACAAGGTCCTCATAAGATAAATATTTAGTGCCATGAATGTGATGGATTTGGGCATATCAAGGTTGACTGTCCAACGATTGAAAGAAGAGAATCGCACAAATACACTGAGTGCAAAAGGATCTGGACATATCAAGTTTGACTGTTTTTAAGGCAGCAAGAAAAAGTCTCTACTCACGGTGGAGTCTGAGTCAGGGGATGACAGTGATGATGATAGAGTCGATCTCCAAAATTTTGTGGCGTACCTGAGTGTCATTGATGAAGAAGCAGGTTCTGAGTCTGAATCAGAACAGGAAGAAGATGACATAAATATTATGTTTGGAGAAAACAAACTCCTGATTGAAAATCAAAAATCAAGAAGAAAAGAATACATTGTTGGAGGAGAACAAAAAACTGATCAAAGAATGTGAAGATCTGAGAAGAGTTATAAATTCTAAACGGGAAGACAAACAAGCTGCTCTAGAAATGGTTAAAAAACTTCACAAAGCTCTAAAGAAGGAACTTCAAAAATCTAAGAAGTTAAAGGGATGTCTGAAGGGTCAAATGAAGAACATTAAAATGTTGAGCAAAGGTATTGAAGGATTGGATCAGGTTTTATCAATGAAGAAAATGTCAAGGAGTAATTGGGGACTGGATTTTCAGTTTGGTGAAACATCCGGTGGTCAGACCAAGTTTTTTAAAGGATCTCAACTTTTTTCAGCAGCTGTGACAAAAGACACCTTGCAGACTCAGAATCACTTTGCATGTAACACCTAGACAGACAGCTTAAGTGAAAGAAGACCTTTTGGTCTTGGATATCAAGAAAGGAAAAGTAAAAACATGCCAGATATGAAAGAAGAAAGCTAGTGTTCAAAAAGAGTGGAATGTTACAATTTCTTCTAGATATCAGCCGTACAATGCACATGCTCGTAAAACATATGATATGTCTGGATGCTATTTATGTGGGAAATCAGGTCACATCAAGGCATTCTGTTATGCGTTTTTGAGTCAATAAACAAATGATGAGACAGGGACACCAGAACCAACATATAGAGAGAACCCAAACAAATATGGGTAAAGAAACAAAATCTGTACGAGTATGCAACATACACGGTAGATCAGCGGTCGTCTACAGATAAAGCCTGGTATTTTGATAGTAAATGTTTAAGGCACATGACTGGTAATGAAGGCAACATGAAAGATGTGGAAAAAGTGACAATAGGCGAAGTTACTTTTGGTGAAAGAGCTCGAGCAAAAATTAGAGACAAGAGGAAAAAATTTAGGAACAAATCAATAATATATGCGGATCCTAATTTAATATACTATATATAGTTTGAAAACGCATTACTAGTGGCAGGTGAAAGTTAAGATTTAAAAATTCATTAAGAAACAAACTAATCTTGAAACGCCCTTGTTACATTAGATATAATGGTTTTTGGATTCCGTACATTAAACAATAGAGCCAGTCAAGATTGATTCCAAAGTAGACACTCTTTTAGGTTTTTGAAGCTTTGAAAGCGTCGAGACAGCTCGCAGTAGCGAGTGATCTGTCCCAAAACTTGTCCCAATATTCAACAAAAGGAAAGCTTTTGTAAACAACAGGAGAGTCTTGTTCATTGATCAGCTCTTGTGCAGGACCAATCACTGCATCTGTCGAAGGAAAATAGAATGTTGGAATCGATATCCGCTCCTTCTCAGTGTTCACGACGGCTCTGTGAAGCACGCTCTTGTATTTGTCATTGCTTATGACCTTAAAAGGAGAAGACACAACAACAAATGATTTTCAATTTACAAGGTCATCAAGAATCTGATTTTGTTCTAACCTGTATTTGGTCGCCGACATTGACGATGAAAGTGTTTGGGATAGGATAAACAGCGACCCATTTATCATCCTTAAAGACTTGCAAACCTGAGACTTGGTCTTGAAGAAGGAGAGTGATAACGGTTGGGTCTTTATGTCCAGGAAGTCCGTAAGTTAGCTCAGGCTCAGGACACGGAGGATAGTAGTTAAAGGCCATGTGTTGAGCGTGTTTGCCTAATGTATTGCTAATATGGTCCTTCTCAAGGCCTAAGCTCTCAGAGATTGCCTCAAGAAGTCTCAAGACTAAGGCTCTAACGCTTGTGGTGTATTCAGCTGTGATCTCTTTGAAAGAAACGGGATTTGAAGGCCATTCGTCAATGAAATCTTCGATAGGAAAGCAATGGAGTCGAAGGTAGTCTCTCCAGTTCAAGATTTTGTCTGCACTGACGTTGAAACTTGTGGAGACTCTCGTCGTCTTTGTTGAATCCGTCGAGTAATGTTTCATCCTCTCGCTCTCCGGTTGATGGAAAAATTCTCTTGCGAGAGTAAGCATTTTATTGACGGTTGTCTCTGGTACTCCATGATTTTTGATCTGGAACATATCAAAACAAGAAAAAAAATTAGAGAGAGTAAACGTGGTGTGCAATACAATTATACAAAAGTGTAACAAAACAGAATAAACATAGTAGAGTACGGTGTTTTACATACACACACAAAAAAACATCCTGTAAAATAAAATCAATTTGAAACAAGTTAAACGTAATAAGCTGCAGTAAAAATGGACTCCAAATTAAGCCGAAATAGTTGAAATATTCTATAATATATAAAATTTTATGGTATAGTGCATTGAAAACGTTCATATAGAATTAAAAAACTCGATATGATTGGTCTACATCAGCAATTTTCATTAAACAAAAAAATGTTAAGTATGAATAAAATCTTAAATTTTGTTTTTATCATGGAAAAATTAAATAAAAAAGTTTAAGTAACAAATAGAAAAAAAAAATATGTTAAAAACCAAAAAAAAAAATAGTATCTTTAAAAATAGAAATTTGTTTTCAAAAGAGTTAAAATAACAAAAAAAAAACAATATCATAAAAGTTCAAACTTATAATATAGATTAGAAAAATTTGCAAAACAAATGTTAAATATGATTAAAACCTTAATTTTGTTTTAATTATGGAAAAATTAAATAAAAAAGTTTAAGTAACAAATAGAAAAAATTAATTTAAAAAACCAAAAAAATAGTATCCTTAAAAATAAAATAAAAATTTGTTTTCAAAAGAGTTAAACTAACAAAAAGAAAACCAATATCATAAAAGTTCAAACTTACAATATAGATTAGGAAAATTCTAACTTCTAAATTAACTAACCAAAAAATATAAAACTTTGATTTCGCTTTATAAATGGAAAAATCAAAATAAAAAAATTTTAAGCAACAAATAGAAACGAAAATAATGTTAAAAAAAAAACTAAAATATAGCATCCGTCAAAATTTAAAACATTAGTTTCGTTTAGTAGATGAAAAAATTAAAATAAAAAAGGCTTAACTAACAAAGAAAAAAGAAAATTATGTTAAAAATCCAAAGAAATAGTATCCTTCAAAATAAAATGGAAATTCATTTTCAAAAGAGATAAAGTAACAAAAAACCAATATCATAAAAGATCAAACTTATAATATAGATTAGGAAAATTCTAACTTCTAAATTAATTGACAAAAAAGGAGGACGTCCACATAAGATTAAAAAATCGATATGATTGGTCCACATCAGTAATTTTTATTACATACAAAAAATGTTAAGTATGATTAAATCTTAATTTTATTTTAGTCATAGAAAAATTAAATAAAAAAAATTAAGTAACAAATAGAAAAGAAAATTATGTTAAAAAACCAAAAAAATAGTATCCTTAAAAATAAAATAGAAACTTGTTTTCAAAAAAGTTAAACTAACAAAAAAAAACCAATATCATAAAAGTTCAAACTTATAATATATATTTGGAAAATTCTAACTTCTAAATTAATTTACGAGAAAATATAAACGTTGATTTTGCTTTATAAATGGAAAAATCAAAATAAAAAAGCTTAAGTAACAAATAGAAAAGAAAATTATGTTAAAAAAAAACTAAATTATAGTGTCCGTCAAAATTTCAAACATTAATTTCGTTTTATAGATGGAAAAATTAAAATAAAAAAGGCTTAACTAACAAAGAGAAAAGAAAATTATGTTAAAAAACCAAAAAAAAAATAGTATCCTTCAAAATAAAATGGAAATTTGTTTTCAAAAGAGACAAAGTAACAAAAAACCAATATCATAAAAGATCAAACTTATAATATAGATTAAAAAAATTCTAACTTCTAAATTAATTGACAAAAAAGGAGAACGTCCACATAGGATTAAATAACTCGATATGGTTGGTCCACATCAGCAATTTTTATCAAACAAAAAAATGTTAAGTATGCATAAAATCTTAATTTCGTTTTAATCATAGAAAAGTTAAATAAAAAAGTTTAAGTAACAAATAGAAAATAAAATTATCTTAAAAAACCAAAAAATAGTATTCTTAAAATTAAAATAGAAATTTGTTTTCAAAAGAGTTAAACTAACAAAAAAGAACAAATATCATAAAAGTTCAAACTAATAATATAGATTAGGAAAATTCTAACTTCTAAATTAATAGATCAGAAAATATAAAACATTGATTTTACTTTATAAATGGAAAAATCAAAATAAAAAAATGTTTAAGTAACAAATAGAAAAGAAAATTGTGTTAAAAAACCAAAATATAGTATCCGTCAAAATTTAAAATATAATTTCGTTTTATAGATGAAAAAATTAAAATAAAAAAGCTTAACTAAGAAATAGAAAAGAAAATTATGTTAAAAAAACAAAAAAAAAATAGTATCCTTCAAAATAAAATGGAAATTTGTTTTCAAAATAGATAAACTAACAAAAAACCATTATCATAAAAGTTCAAACTTATAATGTAGATTAGGAAATTCTAACTTCTAAATTAATTGAAAAAAAAATAAAAAAATATTAATTTCATTTTATAGATGGAAAAAAAGTTTAAGCAACAAATAGAAAATAAAATTATAAAAAAAAACAAAATATAGTATCCCTTGAAATTAAATAGAAATTTAATGTAAAAAGTCAAAATAACCAAAAACTCAATATCATAAAAATTAAAATTTATATCATAGATTAGAAAATTTTATAACTTATAATAGATTGCATATATAAAAATTTATAATAATGTTATATAGTGTCTAGATGCTATAACAAAACTGATCATCATCAATGACGAGAACGTTATTTGTTCAGTTAAGCTAATGATATCGCCATTGGTGGAAGTCATAATAAAATAAATGTTCACTTGCAATTAAAAAGGTAAGCATGTTTTCCCAACAAGTCACTTTATATATCTTATAATCTGGAATACAATCTATGTTTACTTACCACCCTTTTACATTTTCTAAACAGTGGGCTAATTGTTCGTGTTACTTTTCTGCCAATTTTCAAAGAAAATAATAAAAAGTGTTGTTAAACCTGTCGTGCTTCTAGCCACAATTATGAACTCAAAAATATTTTAAAGTTCGTAATCTCAAACATATAATTACCATTGTTTTACTATTCTTTATAAAAATATGATGAATCATGAGATAAGTTAGATAATAAGATTTATTTTAACTCTTAACACCATACTTTAAATTGCATCATGTAGAAGTATTATTTTTGAACTCCACTTCTTCCACCCGGTTTTTTCCGACAGAAATATTGAAGCACTATTGACTATCTGACTATTTGGCATGATAAGTACGCTCACATGCATATACATCGCCATACTTTAATTTTCTATTGTGTTTTTAGATATAAAACCAAACTATTTTAAAGCTATTATGATATGATGAGAAATTAGACATATTTTTATTAAAAGCTTTTTTAGCTTTGAACATGTTATAAATTTATATTTCAAAATAAAGTAGGAATCATTATTAAAAGAGGTAAATTAACAAAAAAAAGGTCGTATAAAAGAAATCTAACTTGGGATAAAGATTTTGAAGTCAATATAAAAAAACTTACCAAAAATAAAGAAATGATGTTATAAGATTTTTAGAAAAGTCTGTCTAAGATTTAAATTCAACAGTTAGAGCATATCAAATCAGCATTATAACTAGAATTAAAATTAATATAAAAAACCAATTTAATAAGGAAAAAGTATTTGTATAAAAGAAATTAATGTGATGTCTATGATACCTATTTGGAAAATCAACAACAAAAGAGCTTAATAAAAAGAATATAAGTCCTAAGTATATCAAACAGACAAAAAGTATATAAATAGAATAAATAAAAAACTACTATCAAAATATGTAAATTATATATAAAAACAATTAAAACAAAATTAATTTGAAATTAGTTTCAAAAAGTTTCTGATTTCTAAAGTATTGATATCAACAATGAATAAATATCTAAAGTTTCAATAGGTTTATATGAGTTTCTAAACCAAACATATTATTAAATATACAATGATTAATACACTTGATATTTCTGATTTAAAAACTAACAAAAAAACACTATAATAACTTTACACTCGATATTTAACAAGTAGTAAAATGTGATTTCTATACATAGCCACTACTTATATCTGAATCAACATCAATAACACATTCTAAAATTCTATTTAAATAATAATGTATGACATAGTTATAAATCAAACTCAAATTGTTATATCTAGATGAAATTTTCAAATCAAAGCATGCATATTGCATACAAGAGATAAAAACAGTTAAAAATAATGCAAATATCCCACACCATCGATCATACAAGTTAGAAAACTAAAATTATCAAATATAAGACTGTAAAAAAATAGATATCAATAAAAACTAAATAAAAATATAACATAAAACTCTTGGAAGACATGGTGGAGAATGAAAAAAAATAGTTTTGCATGATCATTGCAGCTTTCTAACAAAATTAAATGAGAATCAACATGAATTATAGATTATATATGTAGTAGTACACAATATCAATAAGACTTTCAATAAAAAAACTAAATATTTGAAAACATAAACCTTCAAGAAAAAAAATTGTATAAATTCTATGGAAAACAGAAAATAATACAAAAGTCTTAGCAAGAAAATCTTTCTCTAAATCAAATGGATATGTACGTCAAAATTAGATAATTCGATAGGTGTCATTGTTATTATTTTATATAATAGTTTCTAAAATTTATAAATTAAAAAATAGGAGAAAATTATACATTATGTATTAAATTCTCTTATATAAATGATAATTTCTATAAATATATTATAGTTTTAATAATTTTAAAGATAATAGCTAAAAAATAATAAACCATATTATTAATACAGAATTGCGCGTAGCATGAGTTATATACCTAGTAGGTCTAAAAAATCTAATGATTCTTTCTGATTAGACGACCGATTTTAATGTAAATTATTATATTATTTATCACTTTTTAAAAAGATTGAAAGAAATCAAAATAGTATATTTAATAACTAATATTAATTAAGTGATAGATATTAAACCAAATCCATGATTGTCTGATCACACGGTAGATCCTAGTCAGACTTGATCCTCTTCGAACCGTCCTATCCAACTTTTGAATCAGAGTAAAGATTTTGAATTGCAGTAAAAACGATATGTAAATAGAAACATAGTAAACTTAAAAAAGAAACATAGTAATTTTAGTTTTCCTAGTTTTTACAGAGACTCTAGTCCGACTAATCCCATGGATGAGTGAAGCTCCTCCGCTTTACCGGCCCATCCTGTTTAGGGTTTAACATAGTAACGGAACGTACTTTTAATAAAGAGTGAGTTAATACTAGACGTGGAATAACCTGAAAGAAGCCATAAGTGGAGCACGCATTAGCAAGTTGATGGATAATCTCGGCTCGATTGGGTCCATGGAGATCCAGTAGATCTATCAAAGGAATAGAATCGCCGGAAGTTTCGACCTCGGACAAGTTTGGACGGTCGGAGATGGGTCGGACGTAGATTGAAGGGATATGGCTAACGGAGGAGGCGAAATCAGATACTAAGAGCTTGGCTGTTGCAGAAGCTGCCATGATTGGGTAGCAATTTGTATATGGTGTTAGCAAAAAAAAAAAAAAATTGTATTTTGGAAACGTCGAAAGATGACAACTAAAGTGATAGAGATGCTAGCCTATATATATATTAGATACCAGTGTAGCGTGTAATTTGGTTTCCAAAAATAAAAATTAAGTGAAACAGTGTAATGGTTTGACATTCGTAGGAACACGGAAGCACGATGTCAGCAATATGACGTCATCTTCCACATAAAACTCGTTTTAAGTAGCCGATATACGTACTAAAGTAATACTTGTTAAATTATATTTGTTTAACCAAAAAATCACTTTTAAGAATTTGATTAACAGTTGTGGGTTTTGGAGAGTAAGATTTTTTATTAATAGATATAAAGTGAAACGATTACAAGAGATGGTTTAACCGAGAGCTTATACCGAGATGAAAACAAAATATTTGCGAGGTAAACTAGAAAGCATTGGAGTGCTTGGTTTTCGTTATGTTGCTCACTAGATTGTATGAGTTGTTCTCTTCAGCTTCGGGGTCTTCTTATTTATAGGGATAGGAGGTCGGTCGCTCTGAACTCCTTTTCCTTTTTCCCTTTGGTGAATATTTCCATATTTACGATATGGAAATATTTCTTATTCTCCGAAGAATATGAAAATTCTCTTTTATCCTTCGAGTTAATCCGATGCTTCTGGACCTCGAAGATTATCTCTAGGAGTTTTCCTCTTCTCCGAGCTAGGTCGGCATAGTCTTCTTGGTCTTAGTGGGCTTAGGTTATTGCTAGAGAAAGCCTTTTAGGAAAATGCTCATTTCCCCTCTTAAAACCTTTTAGCCTATATATATATTAGATACCAGTGTAGCGTGTAATTTGGTTTCCAAAAATAAAAATTAAGTGAAACAGTGTAATGGTTTGACATTCGTAGGAACACGGAAGCACGATGTCAGCAATATGACGTCATCTTCCACATAAAACTCGTTTTAAGTAGCCGATATACGTACTAAAGTAATACTTGTTAAATTGTATTTGTTTAACCAAAAAATCACCTTTAAGAATTTGATTAACAGTTGTGGGTTTTGGAGAGTAAGATTTTTTATTAATAGATATAAAGTGAAACGATTACAAGAGATGGTTTAACCGAGAGCTTATACCGAGATGAAAACAAAATATTTGCGAGGTAAACTAGAAAGCATTGGAGTGCTTGGTTTTCGTTATGTTGCTCACTAGATTGTATGAGTTGTTCTCTTCAGCTTCGGGGTCTTCTTATTTATAGGGATAGGAGGTCGGTCGCTCTGAACTCCTTTTCCTTTTTCCCTTTGGTGAATATTTCCATATTTACGATATGGAAATATTTCTTATTCTCCGAAGAATATGAAAATTCTCTTTTATCCTTCGAGTTAATCCGATGCTTCTGGACCTCGAAGATTATCTCTAGGAGTTTTCCTCTTCTCCGAGCTAGGTCGGCATAGTCTTCTTGGTCTTATTGGGCTTAGGTTATTGCTAGAGAAAGCCTTTTAGGAAATATGCTCATTTCCCCTCTAACAGTAAGCAGTAAGCCGCCCCCCCCCCCCCCCCCCCAGTTCGGCGAGACTGATTGTAAATCAGGTTGGTGGACTTCATAAAGTTAAGCGGGTTTGATCTCGCAATAAGCGTTAGCTCCTTAAGAGCGTTTCTTCGCGATGGCCAGCTCGACACGATTAAAATAGATTCGACGCGTGGCGCTTTCTTGGAATAAATTATTAAATATTCCTACCCATTAGGGTTTTGCTTTAAGCGGGAAAGACGAAAGGTTTGTCAAACGGCGAGATTGTGCGAATCTTGACACGCATCCCTTTAGGAAACTGTTGATATTTTCTTTGATTTTATTATTTAGTTTTTATCTCTTCGTCTTCTTGCTTCAGAAATTTTTACTTTCTTCTAATCTGCTCTACAAAATCCTCTTTTTGCTGCAATAATCTTTCTTTCTTACTTCGCTGATCTTCCATTCACTCATAAATTTCTTTACAGAAAAATGTCGACTTCATCGCAAAATTTCTCCTTCGACGATGATGAGATTTCTCTTGCCGCGAGGCGAGCCTAGATTAGCCCAGTGCTTTCTTCTCCCTCTAATTATGAGGGGTCTTCAGGTTATCGGGACGAGATTTCACCGGACCACCCTGACGTAGATTCCGAGATAGAATCACATGGTCTCGAGCCAGTTGGCCGAATCGAAGGTCTTCCTCGGAAGATAGTGATGCCAAAGAGCGATTTGGCTAAAGAAGACAGGGTAAAAGATGGCCGGACCTGGATGACGGTCGACAGGCTTCAGGAGTTGAGGTGAAGATGCCATTTCCCTGCCGGAGTCGAGGTACTATTGCCGCAAGTTCACGAGAGAGTGACATCGCAGCCGGAAGGTTATTTCTGCACGTACGAGTGTCACTTTGCCGAGTTTGGCTTGAGTTTTCTGCTGTCGCCAGTCCTTCTTTGTTACTGTGAAAGGACGAAGGTACCCCTCGGCCAGCTTTCACATGCCGTGATTAGGCATCTGATTTCCACGGTGGCGGTAGCTCGAGCGGGCGGGGTTCCTTTCAACTGTGATATCTTTGAGAGGATCTCGCTTCTGCAGCCTGGGAGGTGGAGCACTTCGGGACCGTGGCGTCATTTCTACACTACCATGAGGCACGGGATCGTTAGTGGAGACCCGACGAGCAAAGTCCATGAGTGGGACAGGTACTTCTTCTTCGTGAAGATCAACGAAGCCTCCATCAACTGCTCCGAACTTGAATTATTCTGAGTTTGGAAATCAAAGCCTGGTAAGCCGAACTGAACTTCTGTTTCTTCCTCTTTTTTGATATTTAGCCAATCTTGAGATGCTTGACGTGCTCGTTTTCTCTTTTATTTTATTTTTTAGTGCAAATCAGCCATGGAGAGGACCCGTTTCACTTTGATGTCGATATCATGAAGCTGTGCAACTTGAGCCAGCGATTGTGGCCTGAAAAGGACAAGAAAGGGGGCGCCGAGAAGAAGAAGTTGGCCAAGCCGACCGAGAAGGGGGCCAAATCTTCTAGAACAGGTCAGTTACTAGATTGAAGTGATTTTGATTATATTTTTTTTTTGGAGAGTAACACCTTATTTGTGTATTTGCTTTATATTTTCAGCTGCGAAGAGGATTTTGCAGCCGCGATCCGAAGGAACTGGCCAAAAGAGGAGAATGGCGGCTCCGGCAGTGAATGCAGATACTGCTGCGAACTCCTCTGTGAAGCGAAAGAGGACAACTCCTCGAGATCCACCTATTTTTGTGGATTCTGAAGAGTCCGAGCTGGATGCGGAGAGAGAATGAGACTCTCGCAAGGTAAATCATTATTCTCACTTAGTTTTTTACTTTGTCATGCCGAGATGAGTTTTTGACATTTTGCTTTCTTTTTTTTTCATTTTAAAGTTTCTCGAGGGCAGCGGCGCTGGAAAGGTTGAGGCGAGCTTGGGCCGAGAAGGCTGCAAGGGACCCTCAAGGCAAAGTGTTCCAAGGAACTACCTCTCAAGCCGAAGGCGGGGATGGGGGTCCCTCTGATGCTGCCGCAAACTGTCGCAAAGCTGTTCCCTCGCCGCCCCGGGCCGATATTCCTCAGAGTCCCGGGGTCCAGGACACAGAAGATGCAGGTCGGGAAAAGACTGTAGAGCCTGCTACGGCTCGTCCTGAGGGGCCTGCTCTCTCATAAAATGCTCTGGGCATTGATGGTGCCGGTCCAAGTGCTCCTGCCGAGCCCGAGCAGGAAGAGGAGTTCTTCGACTACAACCCTAATCACTTTTGCGTGAAGTTGGATGAAGCTACTCCAGCAATGCTCGACCGTAAATTCGCTGCTAAGCTGATCTGGAAGTGTAGAGAGAACCCGAGATGGGGCAAACCTCTACGAGAGCAGAAGTTAGCGGGGTCGATATCCTCGGTAAATCATATGATAGCTCGGGTATGCACATGCTTTTCATTGTTGTGTTTTACTTCGTTTTGTTGCGCGTTTTTCTTAATGGCAAGTTGTGGTGCAAGGCCTGGGAAAATACATGTCTGCATTTGCGACAAACGACAATGATTATTGTCAAGAAGAGATGATGTTGGATATTGCCTGCGCCAAGATCGAGGAGCTCGAAAAGGTCAAAGAGGAGAATCGGCTTCTTAAAGAGAGGTGTTCTCAACTTGATGGCACCATTGAGGCCTTTGGAGGTGAGGTGGCGGAAGCTTTTCGTCGTAAGCAGGTTGCCACCCTCCAGGCGCAGAACGAGTCTCTCGAAAAGCGGAACGAGGCGGACTTGCAAAAGTTCCTCGCTGAAAAGGAGAAGCTTCAAAGTTCTCGTGACGAGATCTCGTGGGGTGTTGCCGACAAGTTGTAGTATGAGAGTTTCAGTTTGACTGCCGCGCCGAGACGAACGTCAGTGATCCGTGAGGCGAATGGGTTGCGTTCAGCATCTGACAGTATGGCCGAGATCTCAAGTGCCGAACTGGTGGCGTGATGGACTTGAGATCCTATTGCGTTAATCCGCTGGTGCAACCTCGCGATCTCAGAATTCAGTTCGTCGGAGGGTTCCTCATTAACTGGTGCTGCGCCCCGAGTGTTGGCTTGCTCTGGTAACTCGAAGACCAAGCGTCGTCCTAGTGGTTTCGATCTCGCAGTGGTTGCGGCCGCCAAGGTGCTGAGTTGCTCGTCATACTTGGCCTGCTGGGCCTGAAGGGTATCTAGCTTGGACATCAGGTTTTGTGTGAGAGGGAGTAAGGCGGCTTGGATCGCTGCTGCGAGGTCGGTGGCGAGGATAGGAGCTGAGGGTGCTCCCGCGAGTGGATTCGCGGTGGTAGGGTTGCCGTTCTCGTCGAGACCAGATATCTCTGTATGTGTGGTAGTGTCCTCGTTGTTGATTGTGAGGTTGCTGTTATTGATCGGAAGGCTCATCACTTCTGTTCTTTGGTCGCAAGTTTTTAAGAATTTTATTCTCCTAGTTCCCACAGACGGCGCCAACTGTTGAACCATAAAATCACCACTAAGGATTTGATTAACAGTTGTGGGTTTCAGAGAATAAGATCTTTTATTAGTAGCTGTAAAACGAAGCGATTACAAGAGATGGTT